GTGTGTGTGTGTGTGTGTGTGTGTATGTGTGTGTGTGTGTGGCTGAGTGTTTGTCTGTGTGTACGTGTGTGTGTGTGTGGATGTGTGGGTGAGTGTGGGTGCGTGTGCTAATATATGTACATATACCTACATACTTGAGTATATGGCCTATAATTGGTCCAAACAGTTTTTTCGCACGCTAAGTATTTGTGTGCTCGCAACCACATACATACATAACATACAAAACACACATACATACACACATAAATATATCCAGACGCGCTCGAACGCCTAGGCATGTAAAATGACTACAATCTCAATCTATTAAGAGCCACCGCCAAAAACGCAATACACCTCCCCTTGACAAGTACAATATTGAACACAATCTATCTTACACTGGTGCCAATTCATATATCCATGCACTCCAGTGTCCCTATCTGTGCAGTACATATCGATCGATGGCACAACACCCCTGCCACTTACCACACCGGTGCTGAGTATCTTATGACATACGGCCAGATATACCACCAGGGACATGGTGTCAATCTTGGAGCTCAGATCCTCTGCTCGGATGAGTTTGGGTATGCCGCACCAATTGGCGGCGGTGAGTGCTTCTTCGTTGTTCTCCACACCCTCGTTCTGTATGACACAAAGGTGAAGGTATATAAGTTCGTGTAAAGTATTGTTAGTGTTGTCTCAAGTGATGGTATATAAGTTCGTGTGAAGTATTGTTTGTGTTGTCTCAGGTGAAGGTATATAAGTTCGTGTGAAGTATTGTTAATATTGTCTCAGGTGAAGGTATATAAGCTCGTGTGAAGTATTGTTAGTGTTGTCTCTATGTGTATTGGTTTCGCTGTGGTGCGGATTGCAGTATCTACCACTACTGCTATAGACAGATATACACAAGCAGACAAGTCGGTGTTGTTGTCCGATATTGAGCCTACAGACGGTTTGATCTGTCTATCAAAGAGGTTGTACGTATGCTAACGCTTCTATTCTGGGCTTTTCTGCTGCAGCTATACCCACTAGTGTATCTATTTCGAAGCACGTGGCTTATACAGAAAATCAACTGTGCTATATAATATAGCCAACATACCTTGTCCCTTAATCTCATACTATACAAGGGTAACCTGAAGGTCTTTAACACGCCGTTTGACACACGGACAAGCATTGCCATCAGGTAACGAAATCCACTTACGTACCGCCCGGTCAGAATACCGCTGCAATCAAGTGGTCACGCAAAGCACCGAACTCCCAATATATTTAACGTCTGATACATTTAATGCCTATACATATATTCACCACTTCATGTACATACGGTACACAGTAGGTACATCGCAAGCCAGCACACCGTAGAGATGGGTTTATGAACGTACATGTACACATACGTTTTTCGGCATCCAGATGAACGTACAGGATAAACTCACGTTTTTCTATATCGAGATAAACCTACAAGTATAAACGTATGCGCATAGGTAGGACCCACCTTCTTCATACTGGTGTAGTCAATCAGATGCGGATGGAAGTGGTGCACCAATGCGGCCAGCAGGCGACCGTCGCGGAAACTGAACTCCATTGATTCTGCAATGATTGAGAGGTGTGGGCTATGAATCTCCGTACGGGAGGCAAAAGCAAGGGCATATATCATATCCCATTAGGTAAACCAGGACAAAACAGTTAAAGCTGAACGAGGAATCTATTCCCAGCTAGTGCTATCAAAGAATAAATATATCTTCACCGGCTGAGCAACGAAGAGTATCATTTGTGTGGGTTATTCCTCGCATCATCCCATAGCTGCGTATGTTCACTGGCCCATACCAACTCAGTCGTGCTTACTACCACATGCACACATCAACATACCCAGTGCCTGATCGTGTTCCTGTGTCTGCTTATTGACCCATGTGGTGAGTAGCTCCGCCGCCTTGGCATCGCTGATATTACCGCGTCGTACCATTGGGTTCTTGACTGTCGCCAGCACTTGCGTCTTTTTGACCACAGTCATCAGAATCTCAACGTTTGTGGTCCGATCTCCGTTGCGAACATCGTTGACCTGTGATGAGAGTTCGGAAGTTCGGCGTGGTCATGGTTAAGTATAAAGTAGTACAATATACCCGAATGGTTACGTTTTTTTTCTACACATATGTATGTATGTATGTATATATATATATATATAACGAATGAAGAACAGCGATGAGATGGGACGAGGTGTGACGACCACACAATAAGCTACATACAGCAAACATATATGAGACAAAGGATGCAGAGTATACAAAACCAGTAAAACAGCTTATCGAGCACTCTTTATTTCACACACATATACAAAACGTTAAAACTTACCTCCCAGTACGCATTGCCAAATATGTCATTCATAGCCGCCAAAGCAATCTTGACATTATCGACCATCTGGAACTGGTTCTTCGGTCTCTGGTTAAACTTGATCTGCGTTATAAAGGGAATGCAGGCGCGGGTATAAGGGCCAAAAAAAGAGACAGACTTCAGGGCCATTTTATTGGGTCAGCATATAGGCATGTCTGTACAGTGTTGTGGGGCGTATACGACTACCGTCAGTCATGATACCACTTCTAGTACGGATAGGGATAGAGATACTGCTATCACACTGAAGTCGCCACGGTCTTTGTCTACGGGGGAGTTGTGAAGCCGTGTCTCAACAACATAACTGGTATCAACGGCCATCACAAGCCTCTAATATCAGGTATGTACCAACATATTCAGTTGTATTCTATGTAGCTATGCATCCAATTGTATCTGTATGGATATATCTATATTTGATTGTACTGTTTAAGAATCGAGGTGTACAGCTACTTAGTAACTCGTATAAGTGTGTTGCGGTTGTACTGCAGATCACTGAGGCAGTCTAGAGGTGATCCAATTTGGTCGAATGTACCATCGGGCTGAGCTTGAGCATTTATGTCCTATATCGCGTATTTGTATCCCTTCACAATACAGCGTTGAGGTTTGAGTTAACGCTATAGAGCGTCACTCGGAGCTTTGGAACTATCAAGTCTTTGTTATATTACCAACGCCATTGTCATCTATTTGTCTGAGCCGGTACTCCTACTCGGGCACCTCGTATTTAAAATGGTTGCGCGACATATGTGGGTGTGGTGTGTACGCAATCAACCAGCAGCCGCAGCACATGACTGGCTATGGTAGTGATTCTAAAGTATAGTAGTTATTCTATAGTAGTGATGAATATAGTAGTGATTCTATAGTAATGATGACTATAGTAGTGATTCTATAGTAATGATGACTATATTAGTGATTCTATTGTAATGATGACTATAGTAGTGATTCTATAGTAATGATGACTATAGTAGTGTTTCTATAGTAGTGATGACTATAGTAGTGATTCTATAGTAATGATGACTATAGTAGTGATTCTATAGTAATGATGACTATAGTAGTGATTCCATAGTAATGATGACTATAGTAGTGATTCTATAGTAATGATGACTATAGTAGTGATACTATAGTAATGATGACTATAGTAGTGATTCTATAATAATGATGACTATAGTAGTGATTCTATAGTAATGATGACTACAGTAGTGATTCTATAGTAATGATGATTATAGTAGTGATTCTATAGTAATGATGACTATAGTAGTGATTCTATAGTAATGATGACTATAGTAGTGATTCTTCCTTGACACAGCGTTTGCCGCTACGATTCTGTTCTCCAGCGCATGCCCATGTCAGCTGGAAATACTTCACTACCTACACACAAACTAAAAGTACGCTTGCAAGCTATACCAAGTCTCTCGCCATGACTCGGATCCACATACCGGCATATCGCCCAGTGTGGTCAGTAGTAGACAGAACACTGCGCCGTCGCTGAGGTCAGTAGTGACGTTGGTAATCTGCCGAGGCGTGGGGTCGTCCCCGTGGCTGAGAAAGTGGTTTGCCCATCGGATCAGTGTCTGTGAAGTACAAATAAGAGAAAGACTGCGTGAATGTATGTGTAGGATGGGTAGGTTCGGTATACGGGAGTGACTAAGCTGGTATCCGTGCGTGAGATGGTGTGACTGTTGAAGGATATTTAGCAAGTTAGACGCGTACCGGGTCGTCAGCACGTATAGACATACACTCGCGACGCCCTTTGTCATCAGTAAGTACGATGTACCTAAGTATTCCTGCCGTGTATTTTGGATTTGTTTGGGGCAAATTGCAACGAACATACAGTCTACCTAAGCATAGCGACACATAGGGCTGCACCAGTCTGGCGATTGTTACCACCACTAGTTGCATATCTCGGACTTCCGCTACAATATACGTCTTGGTGTTGGGAGAGCGTAGGTAGCATACTTGCTCACCACCTCGCCTGTCGAGTCGTGTTTCCTTCCCAATGTAGCTGCAGCACGTCTGTGGGCATTTTCATTGCGCTCCGTCTATTTTTTGGTACCCCGTCTACACAACTATAGGGACCAATTCTAATTCCCACCTTATACGAGATTTACTGTATACGTATTCGCTCGCTACGAAGGCTCTCACGAGGTTTTGGTGATGTGTATGAATCGCATGATCTTTACCGCATCCGGTGGTCAACTCAGTTCAAATATACATGTTCCCTTATCTCACAAATATACTATTGCTTAGCTACAATTGCTTTTATTAAAAAAACAGTCTTGATATAGGTACGATAATTTGGGAGTACCCACTCAGCATGCCAATGCAAATTGAATTGAAATTAATTGGCCTAAGTCATGATTCATGTAGTACATGTGTGTGTTTAGATACGAATAGATTCGGTTTACGCTTATTGGTATACATATCTTCATGCACCGTGTACGTTACTCGTGTTGTTAAGTGTGCATTCCAACTGAAAACAAGATACTTCGTATATGTGTGCAATGCAAATACGTACACATGTTGAAACCGATGACTATATGCAGGGAAAGAGTACTTGTGTACGCGTATGGAGAGCAACATACGAGCAAATAAGGATGTTGTAGTTACGAACGGACGTATACATTTACTGGAAAACAACATTTCAGTTCAATTAATGTCTACAAAGCTAAAACCAAATTTTGAATTATGAGTGTACGAATTTAGGGGAGAAGTCTACTCTATTTCATA